AAAAGTTCCAGATTCTATAGGCCCTTATTTACAGCTACATATTATTTTGATTTTGTCAAATTTAGAGCTAAAATCTCGGCTAAAAATACCGCTCAGATGACAAACATAGAGTTTTTGAGCATTTCAACTATCAGATTCTATGATTTGCTCATATTTTTTTGAGCCTCAGATTTAGAGAAAGATTTGAGAGCAAGCTTCATTGGCTCTTAGCTTTTGAAGCCAAGTTTTGAATTCCTCAGATCCAGAACAACAATGTTGGTGAGGTGAGTAGTTACTACTTTGATTTTTCCTTGGATTTTTCACTCCAAATATTGTTTCTCGTGTTGTCTATTTCAGACTACTAAACTATGATCAATTAAAACAAATTCAACTCAATTAATAACCCCAACAACCCTAACCACTTGTGGAATTTTATTAAAACAAAAAAGGGAAGGAGTGATTGTCCCAAGATTATGAAATTTAGTGATAGAGTTGCAGATAATGGAAATGATATTTCTAATTTGTTTGCGGATTTTTTTCTTATACTTCTATATACTTCTGATTTACAAAATTTATCTGACTCTGACTACATTCCAGAACTTGACCAGGATTATTCAGATATGTATCCGAGTGCCCCTGAAATAGAGAAAGTATTAAAAAAGCTTGAAAGTGCAAGGCCTACGGGTCCAGATGGTGTTCCTCCATCTGTTTTGAAATGTTGTGATAAATCTCTTTATATGCCACTGTATACCGGGTGCCCACGAGATTACTTTCCGGCTGCCATTTTTTTATTTGTTCATCGATATCAACGAAATTTGGTAGGGTTAATATTCTAACCAAACGCCATTTTTATGCATTTATGACAACTTTTTCTGAATTTCTGAAATTACCGAAACTTTTGATTCTCAAATGGCACACCCTGTATATTTTTTGTTTATCGGATTCTACAGATCGTTTTACGTCCAAATGAACCACTTTTAAATCGAGTTTTGTCCAAATTTCGTTTTCAAATTAAATTTTAAGTAGAAAAAAAAAATACCTACAAAAATAAGTATATGAACGAAAATTGAGAAAAATGTCGTAGTGTATTATATCGTTGGATTCGCTTTAAAATACTGTATTTAATAGTAATGTTATGAAAGTGATATCTTTCTATTCTACTTTTTGAGCTAGGGCAAAAATACTGAAATAATGGAGTTTACAGCCCTCTATCAAAAAAGTTTACAAAGATAAAATTGAGTTTGTATTTTTCTGAAATTAAGTAAAGTATGTAGAGTCATTTTAGGATGATCATGGCACTCTAGTTAAAAAAATAAAATTTAATTTAAAAATAAAATTTGGACAAAAATCGATTCAAAAGTGGTGCATTAGGATGTAAAACGATCTGTAGAATCCAAAAAACAAAAAATATACAGGGTGTGCCATTTAAAAATCAAAAGTTGCTGTCATTTCCGGTGAAACCGGAAGTCGGGAAAACTTGTCATAAATGCATAAAAATGGCGTTTGGTTAGAATATCAACTCTACCAAGTTTCGTTGATATCGATAAATAAATAAAAAAATGGCAGCCGGAAAGTGATCTCGTGGGCACCCGGTATAATATTTAATAAATCGCTAAAAATTGGTCAGTTTCCAGCCGTATGGAAAAAATCTTTTGTAGTTCAAATTTTAGAATCTGGGAACAAAGGAAATGTCGGCAATTACCGTCCCGTTAGTATTCTTTCAGCTATTTCTAAATTATTTGAGCATTGTGTTGAGATAAGACTAAAAAGGTTTTTTGAGAAGATTACAGTATCAGGGCAGCATGGTTTTACCTCTGGTCGTTCTGTTGATACCAACCTGTTTTTATATACCAACTTTATTTCTACTGCTATGGTGGATGGTGTTGATGTTCATGCCATTTATATGGACTCCAGCAAAGCTTTTGATAGAATAAGCCATGCTGTTTTGATATCAAAATTGAGAAAGTATGGTATTGCTGGGTCATTATTGAAATGGATAGAATCTTATGTATCGAATCGGTACCAATAAGTAAGGATAGCGGCTCGGCAGGTTATCTGTCTAATATATTTTTTGTCACATCAGGGGTTCCACAAGGGTCATATTTAGGTCCCCCTTTGTTTAATATCTTCATAAATGACATTTGTTTTTTCTTGGAAGTTGCATACTTATTATTTGCTGATGACCTAAAAATATACGCCAAGATTCTGTCACAACGAGTTAGACAAATTAAAATCCATCATGATCTAAACAAGATAAATAGATGGTGTACTCTAAATAGCATGACTCTAAACACAGAAAAGTGTCAAGTTTTGCGGTTTAGTAGGCTTAAAAATAACTTCCTTATGACTTACAATTTCAATTCAATTTTCAATTTATTCAATTCAATTTATTTCAACAGCAAATTAACAATAATTAATTACAAACTAGATTACAATATTACAAATTACCTACATGCCTACAATAGCAGGAGTGAGCAAGTTAAGTGGTAGTCTGTCATGGGAGGTATCTGTTGTGAAGGACCTGGGTGTGTATCTCGACCGAGATCTCGACACAAAATCATTTTCTGAGCTCTATAAAAAAGTCATTGCTGGTTGGGTAGAATGTTGGGATTTGTTATTAGATCTTGTCAGGATTTTACAAATGTAAAGACACTGGAAATTATTTTTGTTAGCTTTCTGAGATTTATCCTTGAGTTTTCTAGCATAATTTGGTCACCATTTTTTAATATATACAATAGATCGCCTTGAGAGCATTTAGTGTAAATTTATTAAATTTGTACCTTACAAACTGAATAGGAAAAATATTTTTTTATCAGTGGAACATACAAGTATTTACAATTGAATTTTCTTAGGGACAGAAGGGAGTATTATGATGTATGCTTTGCATTTAATATCATTAATAATTATTTTGTTAACCCAGAATGTCTTTCAGTGATAAAATTTCATGTTTCTGGTTACATAACTCGTAATGCTCCATTATTACAAGTCCCATCGAGTCATACTCTGTATTTTATGTATAATCCAGTAAACCGAATTAGCAGAAATATTTGTATTTAATCTTGTAAATGTGAATGCGTAAATAAATAATATAAATAAATAAATAAATAGATAAATACTAATCACTCAACATGTTAAGTTCTGGTGAACGTGACCTATACTATGGACACAAAAAGCCCACTGGGTTTTTGGCCAGTTTTGATGGTGGGTTTTTGTGTATGCCAACCCTGAGGAAAATCTGAGGCAAAATCTGAAGAAAATCTGAGGAGACTCGGGAAAATGTGAGGAATATCCTTACTGAGTGAGACCTTGCGCGCATTCAAAATTCAATTTTCTATTGAGAATATATGAAAAGATCAAGAAAAAGATATCATCGAGGATATATTGTAATAAACTCGGTAATAAATGATAAATGTTAATTTGATATTGCCAAGAAAGTAATAGATCAAGTAAAAAAAAGCACATGTGTCGAGGAGAAGACCTCGGGAGTTGTGTTCTGGCCTCGGTTCAGGCTGTGCACTTGTGCTGGTAGGTATTCTATGAAATTCGGGAGATCTGGCGAAATCTTGGGAGATTTAAGGAAATCTTAGGGGGATTTCGGATAAACTTGGATATCTAAGGGAAATCTGTGGATACCTTTTGCATAAAGATATCTCTTGTACACTTAAATATGTTGTAACTGTAATTTGTTAGAGAATACAGTTCCTAGGTACTTTTGTAACCGAGTTTGTAACCTATCTGGTGAGACGTGAATTGATTACACTATTAAAATGCTATTAAATTATCTCAAATAAATTAAGCTACATATCAACCCAAGGTCAAATACCTATCTTTAATTTTTTTAAATTTCAAATTTCCATCAACTACTCTAGATTTCAACCAATTAGCTTAATTATACACAATTATTAAATAATTGTTTTTTTTTCATGACATCACGATAGTTAATAGCCATCCAGAGAAATGAACATAGAAATTGTTGTAAAGCATTTGAATCAAGATATGAATGAATTGAATGATATAAAATTAATATTAAGCAACAAGACAATAAAGTTTTAGATGCCTAATAGCATTGCTAATAGTAAAGGTATTAATTATTAGAGCCCAAAATAATTATTTTCAACTAGGTAGCACGGTAGCAGCGCAGTTATTAGCAAAGTTTAACAAAATTACCCACTACAGCTACTGCATTGTTTTCTAATAATTACCACTAGAGTCTGCTAAGAGCCTTTTTGATTTTTTGTAGAACCTACGCATTTGGGTACCCAGTCTGTTTCTATAAGCTATCTACACAAATTATCCAATGTAGCTATCAATAATTTCACTTATGAAGGTGCGGAAAGTGCACTTTACCACACTAATTTGCAAGTGGAAAATAGCACCTTACCGAACACTACGCGGTAAACTAAACTTTCCGCATTTGTTAGGTAAATAACTAATTACAGTTTTACTGTTTCCTGGCCCTATCTTCACACCATCATCCACAGGAATTAGTTAATAATTATTTTTCAAACATTGTTAGTACTCCATGCAATAAAGCTACAAAAGTACTTACAAGAATTAAAACTTGTAGACTGCCCCATGACCAATATACTAATTAATAAATCGCTATATTCTAAAAAAATTGAATCACCTTTTTTATTGCACTTTATTAACCCTAAATTTAAATTGTTTTTGTTGTTCTACATATTTCTGGCAGCAGACACCGTAATTTTTTTACACGGACATTTTTATGTAAATTTCACTAGTTTTTTCGGATTTTTTTAAGGGAGAAGTTAAAATTCAATGAAAATCAAGAAGGCAGGATAATGAAAATAGAATAAAATTAATAACAAGAATGAAGTTAGGTTAGCAAATTTGTTGCATGTGAACAATATTAAAAAAGAAGATTTTTGGGTGGAGATTAGGCATTAGGCAACCAATTATACAGCAGATATTATTATAAAACAATCTTATGACGTCACTGCAGATGCTTGTGATCTTATCTTGCCAGCATAACCTCCTTCTTCCAGTCCTTCCTAACCTAATTTTCTTGTTTACCTCCTTGCCTCCTTGAGAGTTTTTTAAATTTTAAAATTCAAAAACTGTTAAAATACTTTTTAATAGTTTAAAAAGCTTAACTTATAGAAATAGATAAACTACGTGTTTTCAGTGTTAGAATTAAGAAACTATGAATAGGCTTTCGAGAATTTTTCAGCCCATTACTGTGGTACCAAAAAATGCAAATTCAACCAATAAAGATTTTATTTCAAGAAGCCAAAGAGTAAGTTATAAATGTCCCTCAATAGTTTTTTCAGTGAAATTGAAGTTTTTCATTTTTGCTCAGTGAGCTAGCTCATTATCTATCTAACAATGCTGCTTGAAATTGTCTTCACTGAAGACTCATTCATAGGTAGATTCTACAATAGATCTCGAATAAATATCAAGGTATTTACTTCTCTAAGCTCTTGGATTCTTTTTTACGATCTAATAAAGAGTAAAAAAGTAATAAATATACTCTATAGGCATGTCCACAAATTATTTAATAGATACTAAATATATACACTATACTATGTCTGGCCATTGGATCTGAGCGAGGATCTGAGGCTACAAAAGAAATTCGGACAAAAATGTTCGATATTGCCACGTTTAATTAAAAAAAATCAAAAATACAAGACATGAAGATAGATCATTTGCAGACATTTTCACCCTGACAAAGTCTTTGAGCTGGAATATGGACCAGTCATTGAAAATCTGTCTTACTTGGCAAATAAGTACTCGCATCCTGAACAGGAACAAATACCACTCTTTGCTGACATCCAAAAAATGGACAGTGAAGCGATCGTGAGTCTTCCCAATTTCCTGACATTTCCTTTGTATCCTTCCACGTTTGATGTGAATTTCTTGTCCTGAACCCAATGAAAGACGCTGAGCATCAAATTGAGGGCCTTTTCTAAATCTAAGGTGTTTTCGCTCAAACAGGCGCTGTACCTCACCATATTCACAAAATCCGTCTAAAAATGTAGATAAATAACAAAATAATGGACATCAGACCGATGTAGTAGACACAAGAATCAACTTCCATTTTTGTATACTGGAAATTTTGACTGAAATGAAGACTCTGTCAAAATAATAATAATAATCAAGGTCTATGAATCCAGGTGATTGAATACCGAGTTGAATACCTACTGATTTAAAAAAATAGCAAAACTAAAACAAAAAAAGAATGAAAATGTAAGAGGGTGAATTTTTCTTAATTTTGTTTTGAAAAGTTAAGCTTCAAGAGTTTTCTATGAAGTGATTTTTCAATGGAAAAATTTGAAACTTTGGTTTGAAAGTCTAACCCAAACTTTCCTCTTTCTCCTATGTCAATAGTAATTGTGTAGGTATTCTTCTCGGTATTCTTATTTAATAACTGATTTCTTCAATTTTGTCTATTATAAAAGGTAAACATTTTCTAAAGATAGCACGAGTTTTTTTCAATTCGACAAACATGAGGCCTGGAAGAACGTCATTGGTGGAGTTTTCGCACTATCGCCTATGCCAAGGGGCTCATGCGGTTGCCATGGAATTTTTGTCTCGCTATTGGCCAGGGTTCCCATCTTGAAATATCGACTTATATTGAAATATCCAATGGCGGGGTTTGGTCGTATTGTCGATTTTCGTGTATGAGTTGCAATATGATATACATACATTCAAAAAATTCTGCATGTAGCTGTGTATTTTATGAATGAAATCAGCCACATTTTATTACAACTGCATTTTCTTCAGCGATGCCCCATAACTTCAGACAAGACCTCAGATTTGTTTGCCAGAGCCAAGGATCTATTGGGTGGCTACAACCAAAAAAGATCGGAACTGCTGGTCAACCTTAGCAAGAAAAGTCTCAAAACCCTAACCGGGTTTCTCTCGGGACATTGCAGACTGAATAAGCACCTACTTAATCTGGGGTTGGAAGAAGGTAACACTTGCAGATTCTGTGAAGACGGCGAAGAAACACCTCACCATCTTCTACTAAACTGCAATGCCGTAAGTCGGTCAAGAATGAAGAACTTGGGAAGTCCCCTTATACAGCTGGAAGATATTCCAGCCCTGGAACCGCTAGACATCCTAAGAATAAATCCAATCAATTGTCTGGACAGTGGCAAGTCAGAAATTGCTGATATTTTTCAGGTAGCACTGTGTAGAGTAGACAGTCACTTTCTTGAAGGCATTAGAAACAAACTTACTTTTCGGAATCAAAGAAGGCGGCTCAGAGCAGGGTGAACATGACCACGACCTAAACAAGGCAATAGCTATGGTCAAAAAAATTAAAAACAACTTTTAAAAACACGAAATCAAACTTTAACTGGTTAGGTTCGGCCAATCTGGATAATAAATTCTTCACCTATGGTAGCTAGGGAAATTTTAAGAAACAAAAATAACCTTAATGAAGAGAATATATACTTCAAAGCGGATCAAACACCTTTCCAGAGAAGACACCTAAAAGCTGTTCTTAAAGATCTCGACGAACATAAGTCAAAGGGGGAAGTAAACATAAGGCTCAGATATATTAATAATGAACCAAGAATAGTTTCTTCTCACGACGAGGGAAATAAAGATTCAAAAAACTAATTGAATAATTTATTCAGGTTTCCTTTTGGTATAGTAACCTATGCTCTATGGTAAATAAACTATCATCTTTATTACCGAAACATGGCTGACCAATCAAATACCCGATAGCATTGTGCACGTACCAGGCTATATGATGTTCCTCAAAGATACAGGAATGCAAGGAGGAGGTATTTGTGTGTATGTCAAAAGTAACATTGCCGGGCACAATACACATGCTGTTATCAGTCAACAATTCTACACGTCAGCTACAGTTGAATCACTATGGATCTAAATTAAGCTAAGCAAAATCAAACTTTTGGTTGCATGTATTTATAGGCCAAAGCAAAAGAACACAGAAGAACAAAACCAGGCTCTTATACAGACTATCGAGAAAGCTATGAGGCTGTCTATATCATGGGAGATTTCAATTTCCCAGAAATCAACTGGAATGCCTTAAAAGTGCACCGCCACAACCAGTACAGCCATGACTTCTTGGAAAGCTACAAGAACCACCGTGGACATCAAGTTGTAAACTTTCCAACTAGGTTCGGAAACGACGAAATATCACTCTTGAACTTACTAATAGTTAATGAGAAGAAACTTGTATTTGACACACAACATCATGCACCACTGGGGAAAAGTGATGACATAGTCCTCACAACCAAATCGCAGCTCCAGATTACTGCACAGCCAACACACAAAGTCTACCAGAGGCAGTTCTAGAAAGCTGATTATGAAGCGAAGTGAGAAATACATTCCGGCAAGTAACACATCCAATGACTACTGAGAAGTTTTATGAGGTATTGACCATAGCAATAACCACCTACATTCCAGACCTCAAAAAATAAATACCTACACAAAAACCATGGCTGACCAGGAAAGACTTCAAAGAGATCCAAAGAAAACGAGACTATTGACATACATATAGAAGTAACAAATCACAAGCAAGCTACCGAAAATATCAGCAACAAAGCAACAAGACCAAGGCATGCATAGCATCAGCTAGAAAAACCTATGAACATAACCTATTGGATAATAGTAAACAATTCTACGCCTACATAAATCGCACCCTCAACACAAAATATCACAAATTTGGCCTCATTGACAAAATAACACAAGAACCACAACCATCAAATCAAGATATTGCAGAGTGTTTTGCAGAAGAGTTTGAGAAAGTTTTCACAGTGGTCCACTCAAATTCGGTTCTGCCCATACTATCATATGCATATGCTACAACCGAGTTAAAAAATATCGTGTTCACTCTGGAAAAAGTTGAAACTGCAGAAAAATCACTTAAACTATCATTAAGTCCAGGGCTCGACGAAATCCTTCCTCAAGAACTGTATCCAGGTGCTAAAAGGGCCACTAGCCCACTAGCTGACATGCTTAATAACATAGCAAGATTAGGGGAATTCCCTGCAGCATGGAAAAAAGCAGTGGTGACGCCTATTTATAAAAAAAAGGAAGTAAACAGCATGCAGAAAACTATCGACCTATTAGTTTAACGAGTACACTGTGCTAATGTATGGAGAAAATAATCGCAAAAGAGCTCACCCAATTTTTTATGGACACACGAGTCATACCAGATCAGCACCACGGCTTTCTTCCTGGGAAATCGACGATTACAAATCTCCTAACAAGACTCAACCACTGGACACTGTCGGATGACAACCACGAACCATTCGATGTGATTTATCTTGACTTCCAAAAAGCATTTGACAAAATACCAACACAGTTCCTAATCGATAAAGTCGAACATGTCGGAGTTAGGGGCAATTTACTCCAGTTGATCAAAGGATTCCTCACAAGAAGAACTTTTCAGGTGCGTGTGGGTCGAACACTTCCAAAAGAGCACATAGTGCATAGTGGAGTACCACAGGGAAACAAGAAATGTATCTTTTGCCGATGATGGAAACATTTATGGAAATCTACTTTCGCAACATGCTGCTATTCAGTTCAGATAGACCTAATCAATATCAAAGAATGGACACAGCTATGGAAAATGCCCTTGAATGATTCCAAATACACAGTCCTACATATTGGCCAGACCAACCCTAAATTGAATTACTTTCTTGAACAGTTTCAAATAACACCTGTCATACAACAGAGAAATCTAGGAATCACTGTAACCCAGGACTTGAAATGGGAAACTCACATCACGCAAATGACCAAAAAAGCCTATTCAATGCCTCATACAAAAATCATTTAAAGACCTCTCCAAAGATATGATATTAAAGCTACATAAATCATATGTCAGGCCAAGAGTGGAATATGCACAAACTATTTGGAATCCTTACTATGCTAAAACATAGAGCAAATTGAGAGAATACAACGAAGAATAACTAAGCTGCCTCCAGACCTTCATGAACTGCCCTGAACGATTAACCCAGCTAGACCTAACCACCCTAAAAGATAGAAAAATGAGGGGAGATCTCATTGAAACTTTTAAAATAATGAATGGGCACTATGCATGCGACTTAAGAGAGATCTACCACCTCATCCAAAACATCAATATCTCAGAGGGCACAATCTAAAGCTTTCCAAGGAGAAATGTAACAAGCTAATGAAAAGAAACCTTCTAACAAACAGGGTGGTTTATTTCTGGAACAGTCTTGGTAACAACTGTCACGTCAACAATAAAGAACCAGTTCAAAAACTGTTTAGACCAAGAAATGAAGAACCAAAGCACAACGTTATTTGTGCACTATACCGTATAAGGCCAGGGCCGTGCATAGGGGGGTGCGGCCGGTATAAATTACCGGGGCCCGGGTTCCGTAGGGGCCCGGCCCGCCAAAAATGTTCTTAGGTCTATGGACTATGGTACAGGGTTATTGGTTATAAATGTAACCCCCTCTAACTTTTTTATTTGACATTTTAGAAAGAAGTGTCTCAAATAAAAGTTTTAAGGTTGAGATTATTATTTTTTTTCAAAACTTCTATCTATTCAGCCTTCTTCAGTCCATCTTTGGACGTAGGCCTCCCCCAGTCTTCTCCATTACTTCCGCATAATATACAGAGTGTTTCAGAAAGGCTGGTCGTGGTCCAGCTCTCTTATTTTAAATGGAGTACCCTGGCTGTATTATTAAATATTCGGATTCTGCGTAAAATTCTGAACAGATTTTATATGATATACCTACCTACCTGTACCTGTTTTGGAAATATTGTCAGTTGGTTGAAAATTCACTTTTTTGCAACTCTGACAGGCTGTAAAACCTGAACGGGGAATTATAGAGCAAAACCGATCATTGGCGCCATTGGCGAGGTTCGGTAATTGCATTTTCGAGCAAGAAGAGCAAATTTTGACGCACGTCACGTGATCACTTATCTTTTTCACGTGTCAAATCACGTGACATCTGTAATGTAATGTAATTCTCTGAAACAAGCGACAAGCGTGTGCGTATACCCTCTCGGGTCGTCGCTTATGCGCTGTTCATACTCCCCTCACGCGATCGGAATTTTCGTAAAGCAAAGAGGTTTCACTTCAAAATCACCTGAAAAAAAATTATACTCAAAGCGTGCTTTTTTAACAACTTTTGGATAAAAATTTGGGCAGTCGTGATACTCAAAAATGGGGGGGCCCCGTCGGAATGGCTGTACTGGGGCCCGTACGTTCTTTGCACGGCCCTGTATAAGGCAACTAAGTTTCAGGAGGACTATTAAGACCGCAGAGGCTTTTTTGGCAAGAGCCGACGCAAGAGCAATGCATGACTTCCCACAAATCTCTAATCTTTAAACAACAACTCAAATAGATTCAGCAGTTTCATCGGATTTATTCCGTCTACTGCAGATACCCATAATAATAATAATAATAATAATAATAATAAAAAATGTATCTGCTCCTATATTCTATTTTGGAACTCATTTACAACATTTTTTTCTAGCTAATGCTTGAATTGGGAATCATCCATCAAGCAGTTCCAGGTTGTTTTCATTATCTACCCTTGGGCATGAAGGCACTCAGTAAATTGATAAATTTAGTAGATGAGGAAATGCAAAGTATTGGAGGACAAAAGATTATTTTTCCTACATTGGTTAAGTCTGAACTCTGGGAAAAAAGTGGTAAGAATCGTCCTTAAGTATCACAGACAGCCAAATATTTTTTGCATAAACCTCTATTTTGTAGATAGATCCAATGACATGGGCCCTGAACTTATAACTTTAAAGGACAGACACAATCAGAATTATATTCTAGGCCCTGTAGGTAAATATTTATGTTGTTATTGTCTCATATTTCAAGCTAAAAAACTTCTCTTGTGGCAATTTTAATACATAACTTAATTTTTTTTTAGACACATGAAGAAACAGCCACCAATTTTCTTTCAACACTTGCCCCAATGTCCTACAAGAAATTCCCGTTGCTTCTCTATCAAATAACTTCCAAGTACCGCGACGAAATGAAACCGCGTTTTGGTCTAATCAGAAGCAGGGAGTTTTTAATGAAAGACATGTACAGCTTTGATGTAAATGAAAATAGCGCTTTGAAAATGTATGAGAACATATGCGTAGGGTATGATAGGGTATTCAATAGGATTGGAGTAGAATATTGCAAAGGTATAAAGAAGTTGTAATTTTATTGGAAATCATTACGTCTAATTTTTTTAGTTAAGGGTAGCTCTGGGACAATGGGAGGAAATTTATCTCATGAATACCATTATCCAGCTGATGTAGGGGATGATAAAATATTAAATTGTCATAAATGTAATTATGCTACTAATACACAGCTATTAGAAGAGCACGTTTGTCCAAATTGTGGAGAAATTAAGAATGTAACAGTACAAAACTCTATTGAGGTAGAATATTATATTCACAAATAAAAAACATACTATAGAAAACTTTCTGTAGGTTGGACACACATTTTTCTTTGGTGACAAATATTCCAAGCCGTTAAAAGCACATTATGTAGATGAAAATAATAAGCCTTGTGTCTTTCAAATGGGTAGTTATGGCATAGGGATTAGTCGAATATTAGCAGCATCTTTAGAATGTCTTAGTACAGAACAAGAACTGAGATGGCCTGATAGTATTGCGCCTTATAATGTTGTTATTATACCTCCAAAGGTAAGAGAGGTTCCACATTTTGATGAATATTAAATATATATTTTTAGAGAGGAAGTAAAGAAGCAAACCAAATGGACCACCTAGAAGTAGCCCTATACAAAAATCTTGAAAATTACCTGCCCAACCTTAAAAATAATATTTTGCTAGATGACAGAACTTCATTGAGTATTGGCAGGAGATTTTTGGACTGTAAAAGAACAGGAATTAGGTTTATAGTAGTTTTAAATAAACGTTCCTGTGAAAATCCTGCCATATATGAGTTGAATGATATTGTTAAACAAGAACAGTTGCACTTGAACGAAAACGAACTTGTTCAATATTTAAAGAATAATGGAAAAGATTTGGAAAGAATAAATAAAACAGCCTGATACTAAGTGAGTTGTTTTTATGGTAAATAAAGTTCCAGACTTTCAGATATGTACAAGCTATTGAGATTTTACAAAAATATTTTTTGTTTTCATGGAACCTCCCCTTAAATTACTTTTTATTATCCAGATGTTTTGTCTTCTAATTTATACTTTAGAAGACAATGAAATTTTATTGTTTTCCTTGATTGGTAAAAAAAACTTAGACAGCAAAATTAAATTTAAAAAAATGTATTCAAAGGAGTTGCAATGTCAAAAGAAAAATAATTATTTGTAATGCTGAGGAAAAAAAAACTTTATTATTTTACCATAAAATTATCAAAACTTGTAGTTGACACTGACGCCAGTCTTTATTAAATGTGCTGAAAATATTACAAAAAGGCACCAGGCTTTAGGACTAGGACATATCACTGAAAATAAAAAATCCCTTTACTGGTGCTCGAAATAGTCAAAATAAATAATTTCTTACCTCTAAATGCCAATAGTTGACTCAACCAAGTATACAAAGTGATAAAATGTAAATGATACCCATACAAAGACAAATCCCATATTATTGATGGTAACTGTAGAAGTATGCCTGTAGATGCAAGAGTTACAGTTTTCATTACCAAAGTTAAAGATGGATGAATGAGTAACTTCTGGTTAAAATATTGTTTATAGACGCATATAAGTGCAACAATGGTTAGTGTAAAACAAGAGTAGCCTAAAAAAAATATATTTAGTAGAAATGTGAATACTAGAAAGAAAAACTAACTGATTGTCGTATTTATACAAATCCCATAATATTGAAGGTCTTCTATTTTCATGTGGAAATCCTTTAGATTTGGTTGACTAGTTTTATTATGAATCATATGGTCTTGGAAATTTGTAGAAGTTAAGACCCACTTACAGTAGGATTCTAATAGTATTAAAATCACAGATAATTTCCAGAAATGCTAAAAAAGCACAAAAAAAAAATGGGAAATAGAGTTCTTTTTTTATTTATATGGAGTTTACATACCTTGAATTTAGTGTTTAATAATATATGTCTATAAGCCATTGTGTTCAACAATATAAGGTCTATAATTATTATAACTATATCATATTCTAGGTATTTGTCTGCAATTTCATTACAGTTATCCTAAAAAATAAGCAGGAGAAATAATCATTATATACCTACATCAAATTGTTAAAAAAAAAAAAAATGAAAAGTTCTGAATCTGACAACAGAATTTATACTACCATGAATTTAGGGAACTTGAAACATTTTCAGCTTATTTATTTGGGAAACAATTTAACAAAGTAGAAATAAAGTCAGCTTTCGGTATCGGTTAGTACTAAAATTTTGAAATTTCAATTTTTTTTCATGATGAGATTTTGTGTTTATTATGGCCGTTTCTACCAACTATTTTAAGGGAGCCTTAACGATAAGTATTCCCTAAAATGACACTTTTAAATGGAGAAATGTCAGTAGGATTATTTGTACCCCTAAAACTCCAAACACTAAATTATAATGCGACTTTATGTCTGGAACTATAAGGCCAAATGAGCTGATATTTTAGAGGATTGTAGTCCTCTACTAGAATTAGAATCACTGAAAATTTCAGCTTTCGATCTATAATAGAAAAAAATATGCTGTTTTAAAGTTTCCAAAAATTGATATTATAATGCTACCCAAGACGCTACCTTAGTGGTAAATTTTACCAGGTAAAATCTCGGGTCGAGGGGGTGACCACTTCCTGCAATACGTGTATATTTGGCCCGAAATCACTTGCAATCATCTCCGAAATCATTCTGAAATCGCGCAGTCCGTTCACAATATCCGAAATCGTTCTTGCAGTCCCGAAATCGTTTTCGGCAATCGCTGAAATCCTATGCAATCACCTTTGCTCTTCTGAAATCGCTCAAAATCGACTCTAGTGGGGATAAAAAAATCAGCTGTTGATCGGAATTTCGGGCGTTTTTGCGGCACATTGATAATTGACATCAAGTTTTTGTTGTTCTCATTTTCGGATTCAGCAGTGTTTTTTTTTTTTTTTTTTGTGAAGAATCGAATGCTGTATCTGACGTGGAACAAATGGAAAAATCATTATCCAATGAAAAGTATTAAGCAGTTCTTTATGACACCTGGTATATTGGGCGTAGTTCAGAATCATTGGAAAATGACACTTGAATCAAGTTTTCAAAGTGGCAAATGGACATGTACAGGGTGTCAAGTTATAAAGTACCACCACCTGTAACTTTTTTATGTACAATCAAAAATAAAAAAGTTACAGGTGGTGAAACTTCATAACTTGACACCCTGTATGTACAGGGTGGCCCATTTCCGATGTTTTAATGTTCTATATCGAAAACCAGCAGATTTTTTTTGACAAAATAACAATGGGGAAGACAACTCACGGCTTGTTTTTCAAGTAGAATCCAATGGCATGATTAGTTTTTTTTTTTTTCGAAATGCCACCGATTTTGGAATAGTAACCCTGATGTTACGTTGTATTTTTTAACCTTCCATTAGTCGCGCGTGTATCTGAGAAATACATGCCTATTATTTTTGCAAATAAATCAAGAAGGACAAACCCTATAATATTATGGCTTATAGTAGTCCTTAGGTACCCTATACTAATTACTCTCCCAAAATAACATGGTCGTACCTCTACTTAGAAATTTGGAATTTTCAAAAAACTAGGGATGCGCTCGGCTTTGTACCTGACTGATACAACGCGACTTTTCTTGCTACCATCGGTGCTCCTCAATTGTAACTGTTTTCTTGGTATTTTTTTCATTTAAATAGTATGGTACAAGAGGCTGTTCATCTTAGGTGAAGATGGAACTCGATGGGACAAAATTCCTCCCAAGATGACTCGGAAGAGACCATATATTATTATGGTAAAGTTGGCGGGTGTTGTTGGCCAAACTGAAACAACTGCGAAAACAGAATCCAACTCCTGGAATCTCTTTTTCAGTAAAAAATGATTGCTGAGTATACGAATAAATACATAGAAATTGTAAAACCAAAATTCATCGGATGATTCACTTTTTTTATCAATGATTTAGTACATGTATCTCTGTGATACAGTGCGACTAATGATGTTATAAAAACTCGCGCGCCTAATGGAGGGTTAATTGGGACACCCCGTATATTATTTCTTCATTGCATAGCTCTTTTTGAGCTAATTTCAATGATATAAGGTTTTATAGCTTTACTTTTGAAAGTTTTTCAGAAAAAATAAATAAATTCCGTTTCTTTATAAGAAACAATGAATTTAGAAAGAGATACCTAATTGAAATATAAATCGGCTACAAATTTCTATTCTTTATTCAACATTTCAACAAGTTTTTTTTTTTTTTTATATGAACTATGAATTGGGGGTGAAAATGATAAATAAGCAACACAACACATAATTTATTGGGAGTGAACTCTGCGCCTACCGGTAGGTCCCGTTTGTTTCAATGATTGTGTGCCTACCGTATATGTATAACGTTAAAACTATGGTAGGTCCCCAATTACCACATGATATAACGCCTATCGATAGGTACTGTTTACAAAAAAAATCCTGAGCCTACCGCTAGGTTCATAATAATTTAAGAATCCGTCGCCTACCCTACCTATTCATATATTATTATAATATGTGCATTTTTGATAGGCGATACTTATATTTGAAAAAGGTTTTCCACGTTTTTGGTGGATTTATGCTTCCGAAAATCTTCTCTTTGAAGTTTGGCGAACAGAGCGAGCAATCGGAGACTCAAAAATATTTTGAACAAGATGATAAGTAGGTACCTATATTTAAATAGTATATTACAAACCGAGGTGGGAAGTGTTCCATTTCTAGGAATGAAACTTCCAACCGAGGTTTGCATACTATTTACAACAATGACAACCATCACAATGTTGACCAAATGCTAAATAATTAATTAAAAAAATTTATTGACAAGTTCTGACTTATTTAAAAAAATGTTTGACATGCAGGACTTGTCTTTACCATTTAAGGAAATCAGGGCTTACTTTCCACCCGGGATCACTTTCCACCCGGGAGGAAAGTAAAATTCAAAAAAGTGTCACTTTCAAACTTTTGAAAAGTCAGAAATGCCAACATTACGTATGTGGTACGTTGTAAATGAAAAGGTTTTTCACGTTTTTGATTTTGCATCTGCGCTCCCAAGGATCCTCTTTTTGAGGTTTGGCGAGCATAGCGAGCAATCAAAGACTCATAAATAATTTCAAGGTGTGTGCAGAAGGATTTTCAATAGGTTGCCGTCTAGAATGAAGCAGATTCCAAACATCAACAAGTTTAAAGCTCAAATTAGAAAGATGTTAGGTAGGTACTAATAAAGGTCTATTGCTTAGTGGACGAATTTCATAATGACAATTCTACAAACAAACAAAATTTTACTAACGCATTTATAGCTAGCAAGAGCTGACTGGTAAGATATACGGATTCTAAAGTATTAAAGTAATAAAACACCTTCCCAGTTCCAGTAGGTGCTTGATCAATTGATGAAAAAGGACCTACCAGTATTAGGCGCACAATCGGTGGATGAAAAAGGTCCTACTGGTAGGCGTACGATCGTTGGATAACAAAGGACCTACCGGTAGGCGTAGGTTTCACTCCCTAATTTATTTTATGACTCATCTCTTTTTAGCTCATTGTTTCTTATAGAGAAACGGAATTTATTTTTTTCCTTGAAAACTATTGAAGGTAAAGCTATAAAACTTTATATCATTGAAATCAGCTTAAAAAGAGCTATGCAATGGAAAAATAATATACGGGGTGTCCCATTTAAAAAAAAAAAACACAACTTTGGGTAATATTCCAAAATCGGAGGCATCTGGAAAAAAAATGGTCACACCACTGGATTCTACTTGTGAAACTGCTTGTAGAAAGTATTTTTGGTTTTTGGATATCTTGATTAATAAAAAAATTAGAAACTTTTAAAATTGGACAAAATTTGGAAAGTGCCCTGTATTTCCTAAACACATATCAAGTTAGCTGTAATTTGTCCTTGCCATTGTTATTTTCTTAAAAAAGAGCTCCAGAATGTGCTCTCACGTTTCTCACTGCTGGTTTTCGATAAAGCCTATTAAAACATCGAAAATGGTTCACCCTGTAGATACCTAACTATCTATATCTATAAACTTATGAATGAGAAACTGAGAATAAAATCATAAAAATTCAAAAGATAGTACAAAAATCGAATGAAATATGTTCCGCAATCATATTTGCAATCCCAGAAATCACTTTGTAATCCCAAAAATCACCTTGCAATCTCGAAAATTAGTTCACAATCCCCCCTGCAGTCTCTGCAGTCACTGAAATCGCCTCGCAATCCTCCGAAATCGCAAATTTTTAGAAAAATCCTCCGAAATCGCTGCAATCATTTGGAAATTATAGGATTTCCGCAATACATGTACATATTTTTTGGGAGTGGTCGCCCCTCGGGTCGCCCCTTGTCTCAGGGAAAATGATGAAATTTCAATTTTTCTAATGTTGAGATTTTGTATTTGAATGATCATTTGGGACCCCCCAATCGCCACACACTAAATTATTCTGAGATTTGAAGAATCAATGAGAAAAGGATGTCAGGATATTGAAAAATTGAGAAATTTGCCCCAAATTGCTTAGCACGATTTTATCTCATCTAGTCCAAATAGGTAAGCTGAAATTTTTAAGAATCATAGTCCTCTACTAGGATAAGAATCACTAAAAATTTCATCATTCTATCTATAATAGAAAAAGTTATGTTTCAAAAATCCACCTTCCAAAAGCTACAAGAAGTTCATAAATTCAGTTTTTATCGGAAAACTTACACAATTTGTTAGTTTCAATACTGTCTCACTGTATTTTTTGAATAGGCTTTTGGTTTTTTCGCCACAATTAATGCAATAGTATTCAGATTTATCTTCTTTCAACATTTTTCTGAATAAATAATTATTATTGGTTTTTGGTTTTCTGAAAAAAAATGTATACAAACGGATTCTTGTATACAAACCATTACAAATCCGGCCAGCGGCCAGCAGTAACCTCCTAACCTAAAAATAAATAAATCAAAACAAAAGTGAAGTTAGGTGAGGTGTTGTCACTTTTCATCAGGGGCGAGTTCAGGAATGACACACCCAGTGTGAGTGTGACACCGGTGCGACGCCCTAGCTGTTCAAAAATGCTAGACAGTGCTATGGGCCCAATGGCCAATTGTCAATTCAGGCACACTCATAAAATCGCACTCGAACCCTGTGCGTTATTTCTGAACTCGGCCCAGATCAAGTTCCTGAACCGGGAAGAATCACCACTATGTTCACTCTACATTCTATTTTTCATTTTATAGTGCAATTATTACACTAAACTGCTTGGAGCCAGTGTTTGGAGTGCTAGGTAGAACCAAAGAGTTCGCGTTCGCCTTTTCATTGGTGCAGATAGCTCCTGGAACCGGCAAGAACCTCCACTATGTTCACTCTTCACTCTATTTTACAGTTACTGTATTTATTTCACCCGTTTAGGTACTCGGAGCTGCTCAATGTCGAAAACTTGAACGTTCCTTTTGAAAGTGCGTTAAGCACTCGAGTCGCTCATAGTACATCCCCCTTTCCACAGATACACTGAATTTGCGGGGGGGTGCATGAAGCCTAGGTAATGTTATTATTAAAGAATAATTATAATATCTGAATTGTGCGTTTTGGAGTTTCTCCGAGGAGCTCTAGAGCGACACGTTCGGTGTAACTCGATGTATAAAAGAAATACAGTAGGTGCCATTATTGAGCGCATTCAGTCGACGAACCTGTTCCAATATTTTTTAATCACACTCGTGACAGGCTCCGCCTTTTGTATGTGAAGTCATATGATCGTTTGACATTGACTTGTATTCTAGGTTTTTTTTTTGTAATTTTCAGCGGAGCTCCTGGGAAATAGTGAAAAGTCCCATTTCCCATTCAAAAATTTAAGTAAAAATGGGCGCAGCAGCTTTACCATTCATAATTTTCACCGTTTTGTGGGGCGGCGTCGGCATTGTCCTGCCCATTATTGTCCCAAAGGGCCCCAATAGAGGGTATGTTTTTTCTTTAATTTTCTCAATTTTCCCTTTAATTCTGTCTATTCTAGGATAATACAAGTTATATTGATGTTAACGGGCGTTTGCTGCTGGTTGTTGTAAGTATATTTTGTTGTTTTATTGCCTAGAAGTTGCAAATAGGGTCATGTGATAATTGTGATATCATTACGTATATTAAAGAATAAAGAATACGGTGGTTTTTTGAATGATTAGAAAAGAATTTCATTTCGTGCTTAATGTATCATGAAACAAAGCAAAGCTTTTCACTAACATAGGGCATAGAAACAAGAAACCTCATTAAATCTGGTCATCAATGATACAAGGTGAAATAATCACAAGGCCAAGGAGCTCAATTCAGTCGCATTTTTAGAAATTAAGACACAAAGAATTGTGGAATCTTGGCCTTCTGCCTTACTCAAAAAAAGCATCCATAATGAAACGTTTTGCAGTTGTCCAAAAGATCCTTAAAATGGAATTATCTAAAGAATTGTCTTTAATGTCTTTATACTCTAGGCTCGACTTTAGGAGAGGTTAAAATACTTTTCGATTGGGCTGCAATTTCAGCTAAAAGCATGAATTAATTTAAAAAATATATTTGTCCTTTACAAAGTGTGAATGAAATGAAAAATAATATATAAATCATAATGGGCTCTTTCACTAATTTTTGAAATTGGCATATTTGGATAAAGCAACTAAAAACAGAATTTTCTGTATTTTTACTTTTGAAAAATTCAAAGTCCTTCTTGAGAAAACAGAAAACAAAGAAATACCTCCAAATAAAAACCCAGAATTTATTTCTATGACGTCGCAGCTCGCAATTTGACCGTGTTGCCACTAATTGTCAACATTGAAAATTTGTAATAGATTTAATTCTGAAATGTTGGCAAAATCTCATGAAAAGTAGTTAAATTAGTTAGTTATAGATTCAAGATTTTATAACATTTTTTTTTTAAAATTATGCTTAAACACAATTCAATACAATTTTTTATGTTTAGTTTTATTTATTTATTTTACGCTGCTCTACATTTAGTCACAACCGACAACAGCGCATTCGAACCTTTACGTATCTTTACAGAGCGCAAACACAGCCGAGCCGGTCCTTGCAACAACATAAGCGAAATGAAGAATATTTATGTGACGTCGTCAAATCGGCGCGTTTAAAATTAATTTGAATTTGGCCACTTTTGATTGCCTGTGAAAAACTCATTGAACCTTGTAGAACATTTTTTTTTGGTATATATGCCTAAAATAGTCCCTCCTTTGAGATTTTATACTTAAATTTATTAAATTACGTATTTAAATTTTAGTGAAAGAGCCCATTAGGGGCTTTATCATGTCATGGTTATATAATATGCTATATGGCCTTGTCCACATCATTCTTATTAGGTGCTGTATTTCAAATTGAGTCTATAATTTGTGATCATCATTATCATCATCATTTAGCCTTGGTTCGTCCACTACTCCAAGACATTTCCATTTTTTTCCTGTTCTGCACAGTTGTTATCCAGTTGGTGCTTATCCTTTTCACGCCATGTGTCCAACCAGGCGCGGATTCCGTGCACGGTCGAATTCTATGTATTCCGTATACCATTTCCTACATGATTTCCTCTTATATTAGAATTTGACATGTAGAAAGCGACAGAACACAGAATCCGCGTCCTGGATTTTCTTGGTCCATCTACCATAGTTTGAGCTTGCAATATGCCCTGTCCATATAGAGTTGCGAAAATAAATTACCAATGGTAATTTACTTAAAATTACGTAATATTATCCATATCTCGGTAAAATTGGTAAAATCAGTGAAATTGGACGCAAAGTCGATAAAAATACGTCATTAGTCCTATAGTCTATTTCAATGAAGTTGATAGCTCAAATTGAGGTTTAGAACCATAAATTCATTGTAAACCCTATGGTTTATAAACACGTGTGTCGTAGCAGTAGAGCAAAATTATTATGGACACCAAACCAAGGATGTGTGTTACATTTAAATTTGTCTCTCTTTATTTTGAATAATAGAAAGAGAAAGCAGTACAATGACCATGTTGATTTCCGTATTTGTCTCTCTATTTCTGTATATATATATTGATATGATATTGATATTAATTATTATCAAAGAATATTAGAATATAAGAACATACCTAATATATTTCAAATTTTGATTTTACACAAGCACAAGAATGTTTAATTTATTTCTCAAAAAACTTCAATTCTTACCACCATTGTAGGTATTCTACAATTACAATCAACATTGCATCTTTCATCATTGCAGAATCACCAAGATAATATTTTTCAATTCTATCAATTTTACCAATTTTACCGGTTATACAACTCACTGTACATTATTCCCATAATGACACGAAAGGCTTAACAAGTGATAAGCCTTTTGGGATTATCGCGCTTGGTGGCATATAAAGCAAATTCTATTATAGAAATTTTTTTAAATTTTGAAGTATTAAAGTTTAGTTCGTTGTATAACCTTTTGAATACCACTCAAGGTTTCAGGATTACCTATTACTTTCACCTGACACTCAACGCGTTACCAGCAACACCACTCCTCCTTCGGAGTCGTATTATCCGGTAATCCTGAAACCTCTTGTGGTATTACATTCGATAATATTATGTAAAATTGCCGGTAATTTCACCGAAATTTATTTTACCAGTAAGTTTGCAACTCTACCTGTCCATCTCCATTTTGCTCTTTTATACTATAGTAGTTGAGTTATTCCATAAGGTTGGAATATTCTGGTTGCACAGCTGCAAATTGAAGTGTACCAAGATTTTATTCATCAAAATTGGCCCACCAAGTTTTATAGCCTCTGTTACCACTCTGTCTTCTTCAGGATCCCTGATATTTTTCATTTCGTGGAGTGCATGATGCAATTCTTTCTGAGAAATGTCAGCTATGTCTTTGGAGCCATGGTTTTGTATCTTTTGCAATGGTTATTCTTATGCTTGGTTTGTCTCAGATCTATATACTATTTTATAGAACTTTTCTACAGTCTGTATTGGTTTATCCCTGTCTGTTACTACATTATCTTGGCTAATTTTCTGTTTTTTGCACCCCTGTTCAATTGTGTCTACTATATTGGTATTTAGTTTGTTTGATCCCACTTTGTGAAATAGTTATGTGAATATTTCCTGTAACTGATTTTGAAATTTTGCCCAACTTTCAACAGTAAAAAAATGCAATGTTTTAAAAAATCATGCATTTTTTATTTTACACCTGTGAACTGCAGTAAATTAATAAAATTATTTGATGTTTAGCTGGCTGTGCTGCTATGTAGCACAAATGAACCCTTTGATAGGACCCAAACTAGACAAACACACAATTATGGTTATGGCAAAAGCATGGGTAAGTACAAAATTCTTACTTTGAATATAGTTAAAACAATTGTTTGCGAGGGCTGAACCACTAGTGCAAATCATTGTACATTTTTTTGAGAATCACATAGTTATCAATCAGGAATACATGGATATCACTTGGGAATTCCTGAGAATCGCTAGGAATCTCCTAGTAATTCATGGGTATCACATAGAAATCCATTGGCAATCGCTGAGAATCATGTGGTAATGGCTGGGAATATCATCTCATTCTAACCCAGAAATTGCATATCATACATTTCAACGATACAGCCTACCCGTCAGTTGTGTATTTGCCTTTAAGACCAAGTTTTAGCCAACATTGAGTGCTAGACAATTTCAAATGAATTTTATATCCCAATAACTGATCCAATAACTGAACCCGAGACTACAAAGAGTTTAGAACTTGAAGCAGAAGAAGAACGAGTTAGGTGTGATTAGGTCTGTTCTCACAGAAATCGCAAACTAGTCAGAGCGTTTTTGATTGGTGCAAATCGCAAACAACCAGTTTTCTAACTATTTCTAACCAATGAAATTCGCTCTGACTGGTTTCTGATTTCTGTGAGTACAGACCTAAAGTATGACAATGTTGTGGATTATAAAAATGGAAACATGAATCTTGAAACATCTCTCCAATCCGATTTGCCAAAAGACGACAGAATTTCTTCACACATCAGAATTTAGCAATTGCGATTCGCTAGAATTAAGAGAATATTCACGGCTCAACTTTAATTTGGTTTTTTCCAGAGAAACAGGGACGTTTGCCGATCGAGTATTAAGAGCTATGGGAATGTCCCTGAGAAAGACATAAAAGAAAAAGTCGGAAATCCAAGGCAATAAGAACTTGAAAAGGGAAATTAGAATAAATACTAGGCAGGGTGAGAAGCAGAGGCGATAGGACATCTGAATCAGAATCAGAAATAAGTTTGTTGAGTGAACCTAACTGAAGATGTGTCTGATTCAGATGAACCTCGAGATGAATTCCATAGTAAGAACCTCGGTAAGAACTATCCATTATTTTATATCCATATTATGCAGTGTAGACACTAGACACGCAATGGTATCTAGGACTTAACAACTATTTATACCTACAACACAATCGGTGTGGGTGTGGACCACCATGAAAATAAAAGTTGATAACTTTTGGAAGAGTTGCAAATATAGAAGTTGCTAATTTTTCAGTGGAAACGTGTTTTTTCAAGAGAAAATACTGTTTATTTTGGTCATATCAATGCGGAGCTTAACAATTAGACATCGTTATTATAATAAAATCAGCTGGAGATCGGATGGGAATGATATAGGAATCCCCAGAAAAAATGATCACCTACTCATACAAAAATATCTGAAAATCATTGGCAATCAGTCGCAATTCTTGGGATGGGAATACATGAGATTCATTGATCAGTGATTGCCAAATATGGAAATCATTGTACATTTATAAGCATAGTGGTTGACCCCTCGGTGTAATGCTAAAACTATGCACTAATTTGATTATTCTTCTTTCTAGGGCAATGAGCTTAAAGAGTAACTTTCTTCAACCATTTTTCCTTATGCAAAAAAAAATTGTTATTATTTTGTTAATATCTCACATATATGTGACCTTTATACACATTTTAAATTATTCAGTTATACACTTTTTGTCTAAATCTTGATGTCACATGCTATCTTTATTGTTATAGATTTTAAGTTTTAAATTTTATTTACAACTTTTTACACAACTATTTTTGTTCAATGAAATAAATAATTGCATGGTGGTATTACTAAATTGTAAGAGGAACTAAATTTTAGGTGATCAAATAGATAAATGTATTATGTATATAAAAAATGTATTTCATTCCAGTAAATGTTAGTGAATAAAAAATACTCTTTCATTTAGTAGATAATATACAGACTTATCATTGAACCAAAGCTGGGCAGAAAACCTTTAATCTGTTATCCGTTAATTAACGAAGTTAAAAAAATTGCTTAAATTTAATTTTTAAGTTAATTTGAAAAAATATTACCGGTTTTCTTAACTTCCGTTACATTTGGCTTCCGTTAACTTTTGTCCATTATATTCGTAAATGACGTCATTTTGTTTGCTTGAATTGCGCGTCAAAGTAAATCGGGAGAGTTCGCACAAGCGCAGAAAGATTTCAGCTCGCTGCACTACGCAGTTTGGAACTTTTCTGAAATGACTCCAAACCCGATTCCGTACAGTGAGATCGATGCGCAAGCCCTTAGTTCTGTTGTACGGTGGACTGTGGCTTTGTCTGCATAGTTCTATAAGCTCCTTTTCTTGCAGAGGTGAATGGTAAATAAATCAGCTACCTAAATTGGAAATAGTATCGCTTTTAAGATCTAGATAATTTTTGTTTTATTCACATTCACCTGTGTAAGAATGTAAGTAGCTATACCTAGTATTTTTAATAATAACTCCATCCTTGTTCATCAATCATGAATCAGATAAAACAAAAAATTACCAACTAATCACAAATCAGTAGAACGACTGGTACTTCCAAATAGGTATTAAAAATTCTATACCCTAGCCCAGCCTATTCTATATCAAATATCGAAATATCTTTTACTTATAATTAGCTTCAAGCATCAGTATAACTTTTCGATGAATAACTCTTAACAGATAACTTTAACTTGCGTTATATTCTCAAAAACTTAACGATTAACGATTATCGAAGTTAACTTTTCACATAGCGAATTAACGATTAACGAAGTTAACTTCTCGGTTAACTGTGCCCACCTTTGCATTGAACCCATCCTTTGCTCCAAGTAACTAAGTATTGAACATTCCCAGGTTGGTTGTTGTATGAGTTATGGTACATAATTTGGTTGTCCCATTATTTGGAGAAAAAGAACAGATATTTTCAATATGTCTTGTAGGAGTAAAGTATTTATAATGCAATGTTGTATTATCACCCTGTAACCATTGTTCATTGACCTGCAACACCTGATATTTGTAAACGGTAATGGACAATATCAAACTTCATTTTTAAATTTTTTTTCAATAAATTTTATTTTAAATACTTTTATACACAAGTCATGGGAATAAAAATTATTACAATAGATAAGTTGTTATTGTATTACACTTAGGCATAAGATTCCATACATAGAAATTGTTTTTAAGATGGTTTGAGTCTTACATTTAATTTTTGTTCATACAATGATTGGGTGTTTATGTATTTTTATATTTTATACACAAAAAATCTTGTGTAAAATACAATGCTTTCCTAGGTAATATAATATAAAAAATGATAAAACGATTCAAACGAGGGAAAAATCTAATTTACAACAGTTCTGGGTTTTGAGGGGGGATGTGTTTTTTGCTCCTAAATACTACATTTAATGAGAATATAATTTACAATATACAAATATGCTGTTTATCAGGAAAAATCTTTGAATAATATTTGTTTATTGCTCAAATGATATGGAAATAATTATTATATTTTGAAAGAAATATGTTTAGGTTTAAATATTATTCAATGATTTTTCCAGAAAATTTTAAAATATTCCAACTTATTATTTAAATTTTTTAAATAACTAAAATATGGGATAAAAATAATACTTGAAAATCAATACTCTTTGTTATGATTTTTGATCATATCGCCCCTGTAGAGCAAGAAGGGGCCATGTGCAAAATACAAGATTATTAAGAAAACCTCGAGTAAAACTGCAATTTTGAAAATTATAATTTTTTTGCAACTATTTGTACTTTTCGTGTCTACATGAGTTTATGTACTGTCGCTTGTCACCTTTTTACACAAAGTTAGTTGGGGTATGAAGATGTTATGGTGGTTATCTCAAAAATGCCGCTTAGTCCCTTTTTGCTCTTCTACAGAGAAGATATGTATATCAACTTTTGGAATTTTAAAAAGTACATTTTTCTTGAAAGACTGTTGCATTGAAAAAGTTTATGAATTGAACACATGAATTGCTTTATATAAGGAAAAAAATCAAATAATTGATCTCATAATCAGATCATACAAAGTGAGTCAACTCTCATCATTTCCTTTTTTTTCTTGCATATGTGGCAAAATTATGGCTTTTGAATGGGATGGCAAAACCTGAAGTTGACTACTATTAGTGTAAATCCATATTTTGCAAAATTCTTATCAGTTACTAATTTTATATCTGAATATATACAGAGGTGTAATAAAAAAAATAAATAGAAATATATTAAATTAATTAATTATTAATCGTTTTGAGTGGAATATATTCAGGGTATTTGTTAATCCCAAGAGAAATTAGGAATATCTTATAAAAATCCATTGAGGATCAAATACCCTGTATATATTGATCACACATCTCTCGAATATAAATAAATCTCTAAAAAATACTATCAGTAAATTTGTAACAAAAATGTGTTTTACACGAGTGTATTATTTTTAAAAGCTAAAGGCCTTTAGAGGTTTTAAAAACCTTTAGACTTGGGTAATTTGCGCTACTACATACGATTCTAACATTGGGGTTCCTCTCTTTTTTTTTCTAGTGTTTTTAAAATCATATTTTAAGTCTTTGAAATATTCAGTCCCTGTGATTAGATTAGGTTGTTTGATTATAAATAATTATAATTGAAATTATATACTTCTTGGAGCTACGGATAAGTAATAAATATAGGTATAATATATATTTTTTCAATATATGAGCGTGATAATAATTATAAAATTGAAGCAAATTTAAATGGATTTGATTTATTGGCCAAAATGTTAGTTAACTGATACCATGTAGGGTAGTAGAGGTTGAATTCCTAGGATTCTAGTCTTACATTTACTTCTACTTTTCCCTACAGATGTTTTTTGTAACAACGTTTTCTTATAATCATATTGTTGGGATCAGACTCAGATTCTATAAGGAAGATGTATTCATTTGGCCAAGGGCATCAAAACTTTTTCACTAATCCAGTTTAAATATATAATATAATTAGCCTCCAATGGTACAAAGAGAACTGAATCTTTTTTTTTTTTTGAAACTTGCCTGTTTTAAAAAGGTTTCTAAATAGTTTATTTATTTTTAAAATGGAAAATAGCTGCCGGAAATCAGTCTTTAAAAGTTAAATAGGTTAAACAGCTTGAACGATATCCAATCTCCAAATTTGATATTCGAAATCCTTATTAAAACCAGGCATTTATAAAACACTATCGATAATAATATACCCTTAATTATTTTGAAAAAGCCTACCACAGTTGAAGCTGGTCTAAGTGAACGTGCATACGTTGCTTTATCCACAGAATAGCCAGGTACACGAATGAAGTGATGGTCGTGAAATAGAGGAATGCTGAGAGCAAACATTGTTTGTCATGGTACTAAAAAATAGAAGAGACAATGTGTTAGATTAAATTTTAAATATTTAAATTGTAATATGCAATTAATCAACGGTTCTAGGGGAACATATATAAAGTACCAAGGACCACAAATTCTTGTGTCTCAAGCCAATGTAATTCACAGAAAATGAGATTTCCTTGAGAGAATTTTAAATTTGTTCATTTTCTAGTTCTTACCAAAATAATTCTGTCCTTTTTCACATTCTCAAATTCACTCTCGTCGATATGCTGAACCACCAAACCGCCCGAATGCTCGCTAGCAACAGCATTCGATTCTTCAGTCTCGTTCGGAACGATAAAAGTCAATCGGACACCTTCGACTGTTTGCGCATCAGGTTTTTGTTTGACTGGCGCAGTTCTTGGCCAGTCGGCTTCACTAGGGTCCATCTGCGCCAAGTAGGATGGAACGTTTTGGTTAGTTTGATAAACGGTTTGTGGGAGAAATCCTTCATTCGTGCTGGTGGCTTGTTGTGGTAGGGCTCCGTTAGAAGTGTATGTAGCAGCGGACGACAGTCAGTAGCATTTCTTTGTGCAGGCGCATTTGCGCACTACGTCGATGTCTTTTGTGTATCTGGTACCGTCGGAACATATAAGACGAACCTAAAATAATCAGTGTAAAGAAAATTTTTGTGATGTAAACTGTATTTAGGTACCTTTCGTCTTTTGCTTTTTCTAGCATGACAACAGCTTGATCCGCAAGTGCCAATACATTTTGCAATTTTCAGTGGTTTTCTTGATCTGCAGCCATTTTCTGAGTAATACTCTCTTACTTGTTCTTTTTTACAAGTTGGAGCTGTAAAAAGAAAACATTAAATTGCATTAAAGTTCTAATACGTTTGAATAAAGCATTTTAGATTTTACTTTTTTAAAAAAGCAGATAATTATAAATTGCACCACTACCAGCCTGGTTGAAATACTTACACTCGTCCTCACCTTGCTCGCAGAACTTTCCTTTGTAACCTGCTTTACATTTACAGCTGTATTCGCCTCCAGTTGTTGGCACGCATTTACTAAAAAAATTGTCAAAATAGTGTTAAAAACCTAGAAAACCAATCCACCAAAAACTCTTACCTGTCATGTTTACATTTATTACTCGTGCAAGGATCTTGAGGAGGTGCTGGAGGTTCTTCAATCATTTCGTCCATTTCATCTTCCTGCAAATAAAATTGAATAAATAAATCATTATTAATAATTATATTAACTCTGACCCACCTGTAATTCATCATCAAATTTGTCTTCGATAAGGCCACATCCGGGTTGCACTTTTTGCTGAGTTTTTGCGTTGCCAAAGTCCACTTGCTTATGGTTGATCCACACTTCCTTCATGCAACCTGTAAATTAAAAAAAATGCTTGAAGTGTAGCTTCAAATTTTGCAGTGTCTAGTAGAGATTCAAACTGACAGAAATGTTTTGAATCAATGCTGACCAGCTTTTTTCTATCTTATACACGATTTATTAATTTGCAACGTCTTTGAGCCCTCAACGAAAATTTGAAAGAAGACTGCTTTCTGGGAAATAAGAGCGGTTGCTTGCGTAAGTCTGAATTTCTTTGACTTTTTCAAGATGCTGCAAGCAGTCTTGGAGTATTCTTGGAACAAAATATTCCTGTACAATAAAAGCATTTGACAATCACGAGATTGAACAGGGATACTATTGGTTGTGTCTTATCCTTGTCGAGAGAGTTCAAGTTACTCTCAGGGTGGTTGAGGTTTTCAAAAATAAACACAGACCTACTCAATGACATGTCCCTTTCCACAACTCGTAGGAGTTTTTGATTTTGTTGTAATTAAGAGTGGATATTTCCCTCAGAATGTATGAACGGTTCCAACTTCCTGCATTCCTCTTTTATCTAGGAACAAGTTATTAGTCCTTTTGGGCTCAACTTTAGAAATATAAACCTTCCAGCAAGAGTCTCACATGAACAATTTCATAGAAAACCTCGATTTACCCACGTTTGGGTTTCACCCATGTTTCAGCGAGGTTTTTCCTGGTTTGAGTCAGGGAATCAGGTAGGACACAAGTCAGTCAGGTTCAGGGGGACTGAACAAGGGACATTTTTTGATTTTCCCTGTATTTTTGAGAATCCAAATCTAAAATAGCCATTTTATGTATTTTTTTCTGTAGAATCTAAAGATGCAATTGAGAAAATTAATATATTAATAGATACAGTAAACTGGCACTAGTGTGAACACACGCTTCTGTGAACCTCCTAGTAGTAGGTATATGAACAGCGAGAATAAATACATTATTTATATTCTGTAGTGTGAACTTCTGAGAATCTCAGTAGTATGAACAATGTATTTGACCACGAATTCAAACGTTTCCTGCCTACTTGTTTTCATCGGTTGTTTCCGTCCAACTCTGGGGTTCCCCGAATGTTTCGATACAAGGAATGCACAGATATGTTGAGTCACTGCAAACACTCTAATGTGGAATACACAATTGGCAGCGCGTCAAGAGCACGTTCAAAAATCTATAAGTTTTTAGTTCGTTGTTTGTTGCGGTTATTCATTTTTGTGAAAATGGCAAAAAAACACGATTTTTTAACTCTTCATGGGTCCGTTCTCACGAGAGTCTCTGACAGTTTTCAAACTGTCAGAATGCATCACCCATGCATGTTTTCAATGTCGTTTCAAGATAATTCAGTAACTTAGCTGAGACTGGACTGGACTTTTGTGAGAACAGATTTTATGAGAAGTCAAAAATTCTTGAAGATTGCCAGCAAGGCAAGAGCATATTGGCGTTAATGACACAGAAAGCCTAAGAAAGTTTCAAGACAAAGTAGAGTAGGTAGCCATCCAGTGGTTAGCTAGCTAGAACCATTCAGACAAAAATTACTTCTCATTTCAATCAATGAACTGGGAAAAATTATTTAATGGATATATGTACCTATTGGATCAGTTTTTCTTGAATTTTAAGTTTAAAGACCATTGCTGACTGAATTTTACATTTTTAGATAGGTAGCCCTTCGATGGTGTGAACCTCTCAATAATATAAACACGTGCGGTTTTTTTGTGTTCACACTAGCGCGAGTCTACTGTATTAGAGAAATACAAAAGAAAAGAGACTTGTGGCACAAATACAGGCATAACAATACTGAAGAAAATTACCAACAGTACCTACCAGAATCAAAATAATAAGATCAAAAGTTGTACAGTCACAGCAAGAAGACAATATGAACAAAATCTGTCGAACAACACCAAACAGTTCTTTTCATATGTTAACTATACTTAACCTTAACTCTAAACACACTCACTTCAGTATTGTTGACAAAGCGACTCTAGTCCCGTTTGAATCTGACCAGGAGATTGCAGAGTGTTTCGCACAGCAATTCCAGAGTGTGTTTACCAAACTTAGCCCTACAAATATTAGACACACACTTTCAGGTAAATCCTACTCCAGAATAGAAATCAGCTCCATACATTTCACCCCAGAAAAAGTAAAAATCGCCATTAAGTTCCTGAGGGTGAACTCCAGCCCTGGACTTGATAAGATCCCTCTTATATTTCTTAATAATTGTTTGTCCACTCTAGAGGGGCACCCCTTGTGAATGACATAATATCCACTTTACAGGAGATTTTCCACAACGTTGGAAAAAAGCAGTTGGTATATATATACCTATATTCAAAACGGGTAACAAAAAGCCCAAGAAGCTCATATACTGTACCACCCCAACAACATGGTTTTCTCTCCAAAAAATCTACTTTTGCGATTCTCCTAACCAGACTCAGTATGTGAATAGCGGCCGATGATCAAAAATGAGAATGATCTAATTGATGTAGTTTTCCTTAAGTTTGGAAATGCATTTGATACCGACAGCGAACGAAAGCATACCGACAATATACTTATTATACAAGCTATCTCATTTTGGAGTCAGGGGTGATTAACTGTCACTTCTTGAGGTATTCCTTATTTCAGGAATCAACGCTTCAGGTAAGGACAGAAATATAATTTTCAGTTGAATACTCTCTACACATCAGTGGCGTTCCACAAGGCCCAGCCTTGAGACCCTCGCTTTTCTTGGCGTATGTGTGACATATCAAAAATTGAACATTAAATATGAATCGTCTGCAGATGACACAAGCCTCTCCTGCAGTCCACTACTAGAGTTTGAAGACCTGCAGGAAGACCTGTACACCATCATAGAATGGACAATGTTTTGGAAAATGCCATTAAATGACCTCAAGTGCACAGTATTACATATCGGCCGAAATAACCCTAAACATGATAACCTCCTCCAACAAACGTCAATTCAAAAAGTGTTATGCCACAAAGACCTAGGAATAACAATTCACTTATCCACGTCATTCAAAAATCTTTCAAAAATCTATGTAAAGAGATGGTTCCAAAGCTCTACAGAACTTATGTAAGACTAAAGCTTGAATATGTCCATTCCATCTGGAACCCATATTACATCAAAGACATTAAACTGATTGAGAAGGACAGCGCCGTATTACGAGGATACCTAATGAACTCAAAGAGTTACTCTACAAAAGCCGCCTCAACCAACTGAACTTACTACATTAAAAGATAGAAGAACGAAGAGAGACTTATTGAAACTTACAGAGCAATGAATGGTCACTATGCATGCGATATTAACTTCTTCCGCTCCACTAACGCCACCAATACCAGAGGATATAACCAGAAACTTGAGAAGGAAAGATGTAACAAGTTACCTACTGAGAAGAAATTTCTTGACAGAGTGGTTTATTATCAGTGGAATAAACTTAGACATGAAACAATTAGTTCAACATCAGTAGGTTAATCAATATAAAAACCGTTTGGATCCAGAAATGAGGAGCCTGGCACACTGGCACAATAAGTTTGTGCATGGTGTTTAATTTGTGAACAAACTATGATGGTTACTCATCCACCTACCACTTATATCCATGATAATAATAATAATAATAATAATTGTTTTGCGGGTAGCTAATACGTAATGTCTTAGCTGGTAGTGGACTGTATTTACTTTGCGGCGCAACCTCTAAATAATGATAAAAGGGACTTACCCAATGATTCCATAAGTGCACTCCTGCAGGGACCCTGCTTTACACACGCGCTGCGGATTATGGTGTTCCCAATTACGGGTTATGTAACTTTGTAGAAGGTTGATACGAGAGGACTTCACAATGAAGTTTTGAGATTAGAAATATTGCGACCGGGTTAAGCCGTACGACGACGCGCCCGTGTCGTCTCATCGAGTTTCTTAGCAATTCTGTCCAATTACTCGCTTCTGGTACGTCCACTATCAAAATCTAGAGGTACGACTTTTTTTGCGCGAAACAAAACAAAAAAATGCGAGCAAACAGGAATTTTGCACCTTTGCCAAATTGTATAAAATTTATTTAGAATAAAGACGAAACATTACCGCCCACCAAAAACATGCAAGTGTTTTTTTTTCTTGTTTCTTTTTTCAAGCCAATTTGGCACTATAGACTCCCAAGAACAAAAACAAAAAAAAATAAAAAATTCTTTTGTTAAATTAAAATTAAAATAAAATTAACTAGAGGTATTTAGCTATATACAATATCATCTAAGTTACCTATTGGGATGGCAACATAGACACTTTATTAACCGGCCGTTTAAGAACTCCATGGGTTGTCTTAAGGGTTACAACCCGGATAATACCGTCAGGACCAGGATGAGTTTCAGTTATGCGTCCAAGTCGCCATTTGAGGGGTGGAGTGAGTTCATCTCTTAGGACTACTAAAGTTCCAACCTTAATTGGGCTTGGATTAGTATGAAACCATTTGTTGCGCTGTTGCAGAGTATGTAAGTACTCGCGGTGCCAACGTTTCCAGAATTGTTGGTGAAAATGTTGAAGTAGTTGCCATCTACTCAAACGATTTAAGCTTATGGCGGACAAATCGGGATCAGGGATAGTAGATAATGGAGCCAGAGTTAAAAAATGACCCGGGGTCAAACTCGAGAGGTCATTGGGATCCGTACTTAACGCAGAAAGCGGACGGGAATTCAAGACCGCTTCGACTTGGGTGAGCACTGTGAACAGTTCCTCGTACGAGAGGATTTGGTCACCGATAAGACGGACCAGATGAAATTTGACACTTTTGATACCAGCTTCCCATAATCCTCCAAAGTGAGGTCCAGCAGGGGGGTTAAATCGCCAATCAATTTTTTCTTCATGGGCAGCTTCGGCAAACACTTCATGGAGGTATTTAGCGGCGCCAACAAAGTTGGTGCCACAGTCACTATGAATCACCGAAACTCTACCACGTCGACTTAGAAATCGTCTCAAGGCAGCAAGAAAAGCAGAGGTGGTCAGATCTGAGGCAAGTTCGAGATGAAGTGCCTTTGTCGCGCAGCATACGAA